CGGGCTCTATGAACCCAGCAAAGACTGTGACCACAGCGGGGGCAGGAGCACACCTTGATGAAAAAAGGTACTGTTAATGGAATCAGATACAAATAATTCCAGCACAAGTGTAAAAAAGAAAATTCTGGTCTCAAAAAAAGTACGAGTTTTAGTCAGTGAGGGTTATACAAGTCAACTTTTATTTTCCTCAGCTAGGCCCCTTCTAAAATACAATATTAAAAGCAAGGCTTTTCTGTTCTGTGAAAAGGAATGACAGTACTTATATATATAATCTTACAGCTCTCATAAAATTTACTACAAAAAAAAAAAAGAAAAAAATCAGTTTGGCATTTAATGTAATGTAAACAGAACCATGCAGAATGTACATTTATAATAAAGGCAAGGTCAAGGCATAGGCAAATATAAAATAAGTAGGAAAATTTCCACACATTTTCCTTTCTCTTATTTGGAAGCTCTTTCTTAAGTAGAAGGATTATCTCTGGAAACACTTCAGTTGGAGGTGACAAGTTTTTATTTCTTTCCATTATTCAGTATTCTCCATGGCTTTAATCCTGGCCTCTTCATCAAAGACCATGACCATCAAAGACCAGACAGGCCAGTGGCAACGTGAAGATACTGAGAGACACCACCTATATTTYGTCCACAGGCTTCCTAACAAAGATGTTCTCTAGCGTTATCCAGTTTTATGGCTCTGGGAAAGGAAGAGACCCAATTTAGAGGAAAAGCCTGAAAGGGAAGTCAGGCCACAGAGGGCCTAACCAATGACCCAGCCAAGCAAAACCTTCCGTCTTTTCTTCTGCTGCTCTTCCAATAGCACTTCTATTATGTAGAGGCTGCCACACACACAAACAGAACAAATTAAATGTGCATTGTCAAGCATGTGAAGTGCCGGCGCCTGAAGCACGGGCCCAAGTCAGGATGGTTGAGGTTGAAAGGGACCTCTAGAGATCATCTAGTGCAACCCCCTGCTCCAGCAGGGACACCCAGAGCACGGGGCACAGGGCGGCATCCAGGCKGGTTTGGAAGATCTCCAGAGAAGGAGACTCCACAGCCTCCCTGGGCAGCCTGTGCCAGGGCTCTGACACCCTCACACTAGAAGTACACAGAGCTCCCCTGTAGAACTGCTTATGCCAACCTGCATGTAGGCTCATAAAACTGTAACTTTTGTAGGCTCTCATGCACATGTTTTCAACCTTGAAGGGAACTTTCCCACCCAAAGCTGGGGCTCTGGCTAAGTCTCGGTCCCAGATGAAAGGAAAAGAAGGAAAAGAAGGAAAAGATGTTCTGCTAACAAAGAAAATGCAAGGTTTGCTGATTTGGTTTCATAAAAGCTGCACCCTCTTGCAGTGACTTTGGAGACCTCACTTATGGGTAGAGGCACTGCGTAAGATCTCCCAGATTTGGAGATTTGGAGGGTTCTCCAAATCCTCCTCCAAATCTTTTGGAAGATTTGGAAGGTTTTCCAATCCTCGCTGCAACAGGGACAGCTCAGCGACTGCGGATCTAGGCGATGGTAACGTATTTAGGCAACTGGAGATGTATCTTTTTCTTAATCACTATTCTCTTTCTCATACAGTAATGGTTAAGTACATTACCTTGCATACCCAGCACATAGTAAGCTTATTGTTTTGTTAGATGTATCATTTCATTTCTGTATTATTTTATATTAATAGTAAACAAAACTGTTCTTTCCCTTGGTGTTTGGTTCTTTTGCTGCCCCACTGTCAATTGGCAAAACAGCATGTAACTTTGTAAGCTTATTGGTATAATAATGTATCCTCAGTGCAGTTTCATAAGCAAGACAGCAACTTTGAGGGAAAAAAAAAGATCAGTCATGGAGTTGTACCATCACTAAAGAAGGAGATAGCTGTAGGTTACAAAGTTCTGCTAATCTTTCCTAATTTTAATAGTATTTTACATCTATTTATATGGTTAACTCAGGARCCACAGGAGCAGAAAGTAGACTGGCCATCTTCATGAAAAAGACTCTGGTGTGTAATTAAACTAAAGCCTGATATTAATAAAAAGCAGCCAAGCAGAAAAAGGGGACGAGCTCCTGTCCCATCCTACGACGGTAAAAAGGCCTGGATTTTCTACCAGAAATATAGAGAGCAGCTACCCTTTTGTGTCTCAGGGGCAATCGCTGACAGCTTCCTGGAGCACGYCCCAGTTTTTATTGCTGTGTGAGCAGTTCCTGACTGAGCACTCACTCCTGAAGGTGACTTGAACTCATCTGCCTACACTGAAAGTGACAGGGGCAGCCAGTCCTTGATTCTCTGCTGTGAGGAAAAACCACGTCCCAGTTCCAGCTGAGAGCGTCTCAAGGAGAAATCAGTGTGGATATTTAAGCTGGAGGGCACCTGGTGAAGGGAAGTACACAGAGGAGAACAGTAAAACTTTGAAATGTTCTGCATACAAGTAGCACAGGGATTTACTGAGACTGACGTGAGCAGATTTTTCATCCTCTGCCCCCTGAACCTCATTTTCATTCTGGAAAGGGTCTGGGGTTTTGTTTTTCTAGGAGGGCTACTCCTAGGCAGGAACTGTGCYATTTTAAAGCAGACTCTGGTATCTCCTTCCGCTTTGTGCTCTGCAGACTTCATCCGTAAAAGCGACCCTATAACTGACTTAACTTCCTTTTGGGATTAATAGTAATTTGAGAAGATTYACTTGTACAACCCAGTTAAAGCTTACATGTTTTGCAGGAAGTAATATTCATGTAGGCTTTCAGAATGCCAGCACTCCTGTTATCTATTCCACATACACATTGGGGGCAAGTCGGATATATACACAAATCCGGCTACCTCCAACTGGACTCAAATTTTGCAGTCAAATCCCTTGTTTCTGCAGCATATGAGGATACTCTCTTTGGAGTATCTAAGGAGACAATTATGGTAAGTGATATGTTCTGAAATGATTCATCTCACAATGACCAATTAAAGGCATTTATCTAAAAGTCTATTTCAAAACCTTAATGACCAATTAAAGACATTTATATAAAAGTCTATTTCAAAACCTTACCAGAAAAAAAAAGGGTAAAGTCCTGCAAAAGCATCATTCTTCCTATGTTGGTTGTGAGCAAAGGGTTATTTAAGGGGAAAAAAGGCAACATCTGAGTCTATTTACAAATACAGGTGTTTATAAGAAATAACATTTTTAAGAAATAACAAGCTTTCACACTTAGTAATGACATTGTACATAGTTATATTAATTTCAAAAAGATATACTATGAAGATATTTAATTTTGTAAGGAATGGCATCCTGCATTATGCTAACAAGCATAATGACCACACTAATACTTTTTGCATTTTAAATTATATGACTAGAAAGTRGGCCATGCCCAAACCATTTAGTGTAAGGAACAGAAAAAAATATTTACAATTGACATAGAAATTGGAAATGTTTTTAGCTGCCGATCAGGCAAACAGCATAATAAACTTATCAATGTAGAAGTCCCTGATAGATTTTTGTAAAATCATTGTAATCTTCTTAACATGCAGAAGTAATATAACTAGCTGGTGTTTAACATGGAGAATAAGATATTCTAGCAACAGTGAAAAATGTCAGGGAATGTGCTAATTAGTTTGCTTTATGAAAGGTCACTTAACTTAGCACTTTGGCCAAGATTTTTTTTAATTAATGAGTAATTTAGGCTGTGGACTGATATTACAGCTAAACTGATACAACAGCCAACTCCCGTCAAAGGGCAGCCTTACTTCTAGCAGTCCCAGGCACACACTGACATTTCCTTCGTGCCAGCACTGGCTCCCATCGGACTCTGTACAGAGGCACTTAGGCAACTAATCTACAGAAAAATAACCCCAGAAAAAAAAAAAATAATGTTCAGGCAAATTTTCCTTGTGACCTTTATCATGAGCAAGATGCAGCAAGTCACAGAATCACACAGGGGTTGAGGACAGGACCTTTTGAGTCCAGTCCCAAGCCCCTGCTCAAGCAGGGTCACCTAAGGCAGACTGCCAGGGACCGTGTCCAGGTGGCTCTTGAGTGTCTCCAGAGGAGACTCCACCACCTATTTGGGCAACCTGCTCCAGTGCTCTGTCACCCTCAGCAAAGAAGATCTTCTCATGTTTGGATGAAGCTTCCTGCGTTTCAATTTGTGCCTATTYTTTGTTCTATCACGGGGTACCACTGAGAAGAGCAGCCCCATCCTCACTACACCCTCCTTCACGTACTTACACACACCARTAAGACCCTCATTCAGGTCTTCTCGGGCCTGAAGCGTCCCAGCTCTCTCAGACTCTCCTCATAGGCATCCTGATGGTATCAGGAGCCCTTCGTTGGACCTGCTCCAGGATCTCCAGGTCCTCCTGGCTCTGTGAAGCCCATACCCGGAGCCTAATGGGGCCTTGCAGATGCTGAGCAGAGGGGAAGGATCACCTGCCTCCACCTGCCGGCAAACAATAAACTCGGTTCAAAGGGATCAAGAACACATACACACATAGCAGTGAAGGAAGACAGCATCTAGGAACTAGGCTAGCTGCAACGCCAGCACTTTGATCCTGCCAGACCACAGCAGACGTGAAAACGGAGACCTATTTGCCAGCAGAGATGTTGATCACTTCAATTCCATCAGTCAGGGTCATTCTGCCTCTTGATTTTTGCTTAGCTAGGATGGGAAGGGAGGGGGTTGTTGGTGGTGGTGGTGGCTTTTCATGATTCCTAGTCTTAGGGATGAACCGCACACTAACACAACAGCATTTTAAACGGAACCGTGGATGAGCCGGCGCTCCAGGGATTCCAGCTGGACTTGTTCTTCCCTCATATTCGGTGCCCGGAGGCCTCTTCCCCGCGGAGGCCTGGCCCGGCCCTGGCTCCGCAGCGGACAGGTCGGCCCGTGCCCGTTCCCGTTCCCGTTCCCGTTCCCGTTCCCGTTCCCGTTCCCGTCCCGTCCCGTCCCGTCCCGCCTCCCGCCGCGGCGGCAACGGCCGCGCAGGCGCCGCGCGAGGGGCGCGGCAGGGCGGGGCGCTGCGACCGTTGCCATGGCGGGCGAGGCGGCGCCGCCGCGGCCCGGCGTCGGCGTGGGGGTGGTGGTCACGAGCGCCGAGCACCCCGGCTGCGTCCTGCTGGGCAGGAGGAAGGGCGCCATGGGCGACGGCGCCTTCCAACTCCCCGGCGGCCACCTGGAGTTCGGGTAGGAGCGGCGGGGCCGAGGCGCGCGCTGCCCGCCCGCCTCCCCCAGCGCCATGTTCCCCCCCCTTTCCCCGCAGGGAGAGCCTGGCCGAGTGCGCGGCGCGGGAGGCGCGCGAGGAGGCGGCTCTGCGCCTGCGCCGCGTGCGCTTCGCCTCCGCCGTGAACGCGGCGTGCGCCGCCGCGCGCTACCACTACGTCACGGTGCTCATGCGGGCCGAGGCGGAGCCGGGCGCCGAGCCGCGCAACTGCGAGCCGCACAAGAACGAGGGTGAGGCGAGCGCGCGTGCGCGGGCGGCGCCGCCGTTACGGCCGTTACGCCCCGCCCACGCTTTCCCGCTGTGTCCTTTCCACAGGCTGGCAGTGGGTGAAGTGGGACGAGTTTCCTCCGGCGGAGCAGCTGTTCTGGCCCTTGCGCTGCTTGAGAGAACAAGGGTACAATCCTTTCACGGAAGATTTTGAGCACCTGAAGGGATACACGGGAAGTCACCAGCTGTYATGAAAAATAGTTTTATGTTGTGTAACCTGTTTCACGGGCAGCCCTGCTTTTCCAGTGTAAAAAATAATGTATGTATGTAAAAACATATACAGTGTTTGCCCATCAAAAAATGCCAAATGTTTCAGTGCTTTCACCTTGTTTCACATAACGTTTTTTTCTCAGTCCAAGGCTAGATAGAGCTTTCCTTCATAGCAATTCAACAACAAGCATATTTTCTAATTCTTAAGCAGTATTTTATATAGAGTGTTTTATTTGAAAAATCTTCATATAGATCAATATCCCTTTGGAAGTCAACAGAGCTACTCCCATTTACACTGTCAAGAATATTACTGTAGACTGCATYGCTCTTTCTTCAAAATATGCAGTACCTAACCTAGTAAGTTAAATGGAAATAATGGAAAAAAATCTAATTTTGAAAATTCATCTGCATTAGTGATTCCCATCTCAGCAGATTACCTTCATATGTTACTACAGCTCTTAATAAAGAGGTGCCTAAAGTGTGACTGACGAAATACTGTACAGACTAGTCTTATTTGCAGGTGTCGTTCTAAAGCAGACTATCAAATCTTTAGGCTAAAGAAGCTCRTCAGCATTAAATTGTCAGCTGTACAGATTCAAATAGTTTTTTATGGCGACCAGGATTTGATAGAATTCTCAGTCTTCAGTTTGATGYGACTGAATGATGAATTAGCAGTGAATCAAAGAATAGTCAAAGAACATAAAGATAAAAATGTAATATGGTGAGCTTACAATTAGAAAATTTTCTAGAATTTATATTATTCTTTTTCAGCTATAGCTTTTTCAGTCATTAGGATTTCTGCCGTGAATTTTAGGATCAGAATGGATTAAATCTCAGAATTTCACMAAATTGCCTGTTTTTTTTTTCTTCAGTGTTCATTTAAAGCACACTTCCTGTTTGTTTCCTTTATATGCAGGCACAGTTGAAAACATTCTGTGATACCCCTTGATTTCATTTAAGTAAAACACAAATAATGAAATAATGGAAGTTTTGAATTTATTTTAAATTATAAATTGGTTTGTAAATTTTAAAAGAGAAAAAAAAAAGGGGGGCTTAAAGCAGTTGCTTGCTTTGCCCATAAATTCATAAATAGAGGTGGTGTTTTCCACTGAGAAACAGGCAGAATGGTACAAAATTTAAGAACACTGTTGATAACTAAGCCTCCTACTTARTTGATTATATATTAGTATTCTTAACTACATAGAGCTTCCTGTGGGATGAATATTCCTYGTCTGAAGTGGAAAAAGTAGTTTTGAAATGGAACGCCTCACAGAATATTACCTTCGTACAATACAGTTCAAAAGTTATTTTTTATTCAAAAAGTAGAGTTTTTTTCCCCAAAAACATGGGAAAAATGTTTTTTTTTTTTTGTACACTGAAAAATATTCCACACAGCTGTTAGCAAAGGGGCTATAGGAGTTGACAGATGTCCAACCCATCTGTTCTGAAGAATAATGAGAAGTATAGTAGGTCAAAGGATTTTATGCTATTGTGTAAGTGTTAGAAAGTCATTGATGCAAAATAMTGAGTTATTGTAAAATGGTTTGTAATACAGTAAATAATTACATGAACTGGTTATGTTCATTCTGTTTGCTGTAAATATACAAGTAAAGTTGCTGAAATTAGGACAYGGAGTATCACCATATGTCAGGGTTACTGTATCCTAAGTGGACTGATTAAATGACTACAGTGCATTACTGCAATCAGCGAACAGCAATTTGTGACTTCTTTAATTGGTGCTGTGCATTAGTGCTGTGTCCTAGGACAGATCAAAGAAGGGGCTTTTAGGAAAGAAAATACCAATGACCTTGTACAAAGCATGAAGAAACTGCTCTCTGCAGGACTGTGTATGATTCTGATTGCTGATATTTAAGAAAAACAGTGTGAACAACAGCGAGGTAGGCAAAGCTGACTAGAAAGGTTGTCGAGACGGCAGCCTCATTTGGATTCAYATAGAAGAGGAAATGCAGTTGCTCTATAAATATGATTATAGCATACAGCACAAAAGAGAAGATAGCAGTGTCACAAAGTTAAAAATATGTATCACTTTAAACTGCCACCTACAAAGGCGAAATCTTAAGAGCTACTTTTTGAAGTAAGTTCAGAAAGGAATAGTTGAAAGACAAACAAATTAACCAGCTCCCTCTCAAAACAAAATCTACCTAATATACCATGGGATTGAACCTGACTGCAAAGGTCTTTTTCACTTCTGCCTCCCTACAGGACACATGTTGGTCAGGTGGGGTGGTGTTACAGGATAAATACTAAGAAAATTAAGCAAATGAAGCATTGAGAAACGAACAACAACTATATGATGGGAAAGCAGAGTTCTCATCAGGAAACCTAGTGGCARGGCAGAAACCTGTAATTGGCAGGAGCACCAGGGAGCCTACGAAAGCTCCAATCACATCCAAACCAGAGACAAAAGCAGCTGTCATACGACTCCCTAAACAAAACAGAACAAGGTAAGTTAAGGGAAGGGAAAAGTCTTTGGAAAGATGAAAGAACAATGCAGCTGAGACAGGAAATGCAACTGCTTAAGTAAACAAATCAGCAGTTTCACGGGACTGAAGAAAATGTAGATGACAGGAATGAAAAAGCTGTGAGCACTTTGAACTGAAAGGAGCTGAACGTGCCGTGGGCCCCCGCATGCACCAGCCCCGGGGTCCCAGGAGACCTGCTCAGCGCGTGGCTGAGGTTGCTGCCCCAAACTCTGCACTGCTGCAGGGGTGTCCAGCAAAGCAGAACTGCTACAAGGACAGGCTGACTGCTTAGCTGCTTCCTATCCTCACAGAGCCATTGGGAAAGAAAACTGGGAGCATAAGGTTCCAAAACTCACTCAACCAATCACCTACTAGGATAAAATGTGGCAAATAAGGAAGTTACACAATTATTCATCTAAGATTTAAGGTTGCAAACTGATAAAGTTACACAAAGACTTTATGACAAATCATTTATTATATATTACAATAATTACAAACATTTTATTACACCTTATTGCCATATTTTTGTTCTCAGAACACACAAGATGATCAAGAACATGGATTTTGGCAGTAACATAAAAATATTAAAATTACAAATTTCATGCCTTGTTTCTGTGCCATAGAAAAGGCTCTCATCAAAAGAGTAAAGTTACTAACAAACATACAAGGGGATTCCCCTTACACCTTTTTTTCCCAGGAACTTCTGTCCTCTAATGTATAGTAAATATATATATAYACAAACACACACACGCACATGTCTCTTGCAAACATCCACACTCACATGTACATAATGACCAGAAATCTTGTATCTCTCCTCCAGCACAAAGCTCCCAGTCTTTTTTGTTTGAGCATCTAATGGAAAAAAAAAAAAAATCTAGAAGTCCACGGTTTTAAATTAGTCACCCTCTTTCTGCGCCAGCTGCATCTTCTCCCTGTACAGGGTCACCAGCGAGACGACGGGTGCTGCAGTTTGTGACGAACAGCGTCCTACCTGCCTTCACCACAGGAAAGGTCTACCAGGGATACTGCCCCCTTGCACCTAGTCCGAGTCGCTGCTGCTGCTCGAGGAGTCTGTCGACATCACTTCCACATCGTCTTCGTTCTCCTTGTTGTGTCCCGGAGGCTCCAGCAAGAAGTCGTTGCTGTGATTAGGAGGTAGCATGTTCATGGACATGTCGCTTGACTGCCAAGGGTACTGAGGAGCCAGCACGTCTGGAACAAAAAGGATTTCATCCATGAAGTATCTGYTTCTTATATTCACAAACTCAATGGGACTGCTCAACAGAACTCCAAAACTCAGCAAGTTTTCAGTTACCATTTCTGAATTCAGTACTCAGTTTTTCAGTTAGCATTTGTTTTCACTGTAAAATGGACAGCTGAAAACTGAAGCAGCATCTGGAAGACATCTCATAACAGCCATTCCCTCAGTGTAGAAGTCTCTTCTGCCAGAGGCCCAGTAATACATGTGGCTCTTAATCTCTCATCACCCCACTTCAAACAGTATATACTCATACTGAGCTTTTCATCTTCAAAGCAGTTTGAAYTGACTAACTTTCACAACCACAGACAGTTGTGAAAACGGCCACCCCCTGTCAGTATGCAAAAATAGATAAAAACACTACATGAAAGGATAATATCAATAGCTAAGGTAGGCCACAGAAATTCAAACTTCAAGGTCTCGTCTGAATTTGGCTGAAACACCTTGGATAGCATACTTCCACCAGCAAACACAGTGCACCAAATGCTAAATACAGTCCCACTGCAAGACCAGAGTCCTGGACAGAGATAAGTGTGAGGGAGGGAAGTGCCCTGCAGTGCCCCAGCCAGAGCAGCTTCCGTTGCCCCTCATTGTTTCTTCCAGTCTCTGACATCCAGAATCCTCCCATCCTTTGTCTCCCCACCAACGTACTGAAGACTCCTCAGCCCTCCCAACACTTTCTTGTCACTCCCTTCCTTCCTTGCCCCTAAAAACACCTCCCCCTTCAGAGCTACAACGTGCAATGTGCATTGTCATTTCTGCTCTCTTCTTTCTGAAGTGGGGTCCCACCGCTRCGTTTCCCATCCTTCCTTCCTTATTTCTAGTCACTGTGGCTACAGTCCATCCGCAGACAAAACCAACTACCTCCTGMTTACAGCAAGAATTTAAAAATAACYAGACAAGACTCTGAACTTAACAAAAACTCATTTGCACGGGCAGAAAAGAAGGACATTGCCATGGGTTATATGAGTTAGAAATAGTCWATATAGGTTGGATAGTCCAGTCAGGAACTGACGGACTCAGAAGCACCCAGAATCCACACGAAAGCTTTTGATTGTTAAATTTACACGCTGGAGAATCCACGTATGGAGCCCCACCCCCTCAAAAACCAAACACTGTGTTATTGTAGGTTATGGCATTTCCTAGCTGTGCAAGTCTGACCACCAGCAGACTGGAGAACACAATTCAGCCTTTATGCCAGTTTCCTGCCCGCTTTGGGAAGACCAAGAATAGGACTGGGTGGGTTTATTCCCACCAAAGTAAACTTAGCCAATTCTGTTTGAACCAGCCGAGTGTGTAAACCAGTGGTTTGGATCCCGTGGCCATGCTTCAACATTTCAATCACTGCACTGTTCAACCAGAGTGAGAGTGTACTGAAAAGCTCAAGTTTTGAGGCCATCAAGCACCCCAGAGGTTGGCTCGCAGCTAGACTCAATAAGGACTCAGGAACTAGACATTTCTCTGCGGAAATCTCTAAGAGGACTAAAAACATTCTCAGGATGTGCCTGCCACACCCCAACAGATTCAGGGTTCCTACACAAAGTGTCACGTCAGCCTCTGCTTTCTTTTGAATGAATTTGTGATGTCAGTCTAGTAATCTAGTCTAGTCTAAACTAGTCTAGACTTATCAGTCTAGTAATTAGAGGATCTGACATAGGGAACTCAGGTTCAACTAACTCATTTGCTTTAAGGGTTTAAATCCTGCATTTTCCAGCCCCCAGGAAATGCCCTAAACAGCGAGCTTTCAGTTCTTACAGAGACTCTACTCAGAAGTGAAGTCTGAATCCTTTAGAGCAGCAGAGCTGCCCTGAATCCACTCTTCCAAGCCTTAGGCATAAGCTCAACCTCTCCTATGCTGCAAGAGGAAGAGATTACCTTAACATCCAGGAGGAAGAGAGAATCTTAACATCCTTCCTGTCTTTATCCTTAAGAGATAGCCTTAATATTTCACAACAAGAGAAAGGCGTACAGACCTGTTTTKGGGAGAAACCTCACAGGGATTTCTCTATTTTCTCTAGGGTCAGAGGTTTAGAGAGGGAGATGACCCTAAACTTCAACTGATTTCRCAAGAGGTGACATTAGCATTACATATATGACTGCAGACACCTCCCCCCTCCCCCTTTTAAGGCATTTGTAATAAAGCTTTTTTGGTGTATTCAAAAATTCAAAATAATTCAAGAATTCAGTGTAATGTTTGAAAACTTCTTTTTTTTTCCATAATTACTACAAACTAAACAGACTGGTAAGCACTGTTACGATTTTCTCAATATCCAAAGTAAGATTTTTGCTATACTTTAGTCTAACGCCAATAAGATTAAAGGTGCCCAGGCACACAGCTACTCCACCAAATTATTGATTCAAGTTATGGCTATTTGCCACTAAATCATATTTTAGCATGAATGAATCCCAGTAAAGTCAGGGGAAGTGTCCGTTACATTAACCAATTAGGCATTTAACATTAATTGCTACACTCAGGGCACTACCTCATCAGCTGTCCTTGTCAATGTATTTTCAAACAGGAACTTCCAACCAATTTAGCTATAGGGAGGTATGGGAAACAACACACCTCTTCTGATTATACCTTCCACAATTCTGTACTTTCACTGCAAGAAAAAAATGTAGTGGAAATACACTTTTTTAAAAAATTTGGTATCACTTAGAGTAATTTAGAATAAGTGACCTGAAGAGCAGTGATTTTTCAACTAAAGTGATTTTTTAGGTTGACTTATGGTCTAGTATCTACAGAATGACTTAGCAGGAATGACGTGAATTTTAACTATTTTTACTAGTTCTTCACCACTAAGGAAAAATGTTGGCCATAATTTTCATTATTTTAATTCTGCTTTGCCATTGCTAAGGAACACTTAYAAGTGCTATGATTATACAATGACTAAAGAAAAGCAACACAGAGCTGAGACCCCTTTACCTGGCAGCCTTCCCGCTGCAAGTGCATCTCCTGGTAGGTGCCCATTAACTCCATTGGTGGATGGGTTGTTCATCTGACCCAAGAGACCACTCCTCATTTCCAGATCCGTAGGATATGGTCTACGGGGGTCCCCTTAAAAAGGAAAGGTTTTTCAATATAAACATTGCAAATACTTGCAGATATTACCTCTTTCTTTGGTGCTTAGTTTAGCGACCAGAAAAGAGCTRCTTATCATCAATGAGCACCACACCTCTTCCATAAAAAAAAAAAATCCAAGTCTCTGTCCTTCATTTTGGCTGTCCCTGTTCATTCACATTTTGCAGTAAAAGTCCTTGAGAAACCTATGTTTAGACCTCTGTTCTCCCTGCTACCTTCACAGGTAAATTGCAAAAGCAGGAATTGGAAGGAACACAATCTCTTCTGGACAAGTGGGACAATTCCCAAAATTGAGGCCTGGCGTAACACAATTCCTACTTCCGACTCTACTGATTATTAACTTCCTCTGAAAATAAAACCAAAGGGGAGATACAATCAGACACAGGGAAAAAGTCCTTAACAGTCTTGGGTTCTAGTTTATACAGGAAAAAAAGAGTAAGAAAAGAGAACAGATAACGCCAACAAGAAAGCCTGCAGATTTGTTTTCTTTGAAGCTACAAGTCTACAGGACTTTGGATATCCAGTTTTGATGGATATCTTTTTGCAGATATAGCACCTGAAAACAACATATGCCCCTAACAAACCAAATAAAATCTGTTGTTGTTTTACATGGGCATTTTAAGTCCAGATACTGGTCGCATTTCAGTACAACAAGAAAAATATATATATACACACACCATAAATATGACAGTTACCTGGTACCCACGTCAGAGGGGCACAAACAGCATTGCTAGCACTGATCCTATGYGCATATTTAATTATTTCTTCAGATGAAATGGCACCTGGAGGAAGTGAAGGAAAGTTCAGAGAATCACAGAATGGTTCAGGTTGGAAGGGACCTCTAGAGATCATCTAGTTCAACCTTCCTAAGTTGCTAGSTCCTTAAAAGATTACACCATTCAGTTAGCTCAGATTATTGGGCCCTCTGTCAAAGATTGGAAATGTCTTTTTGTCAGACATAAGGRGCATGCTCCAAATGCAGTGACCGCTCAGAGGATGCTTGGACACCAAAAGGACGAACTTTACTGCAAAGTGGCTTTACACCACTTTCTGACCTTTAAAGTCAGCAGATGTTCAACCTTGTGAAAAACACAAACCGATCTCTTACAGCAGCACAGTCATAAGAACAGTCTATAAGAAAACTTCAGCACTTGCTTCACTGTAGTTTGCCCTACCACACACAGCTGAATTTTCTGTTTGTCGCAACAGTTGAGCACACATGTAGCAACCCTTCTACATATGCAGCTGCACTGCAAGTGCCACAATATTTGTGAAATAACTTTATCTAAAGCATTAAGACATGATAAATATCATCAATAAATGCTAAAAATACATATCAGCATCACCACCTAGTCAGTCTTTCACATCCAATGTTATGCATATGCATGCACATGCCCACAGACACACTCTCCCTCTAGTCATTAGGCCAACCAGGATAACTGCCTTTGCTGAGGCGCTTACGTAATAAGACAGACTATTACCAATACAAGAAGAGCCTGGAGACATTGGATATTAAGATAAATTTGCTACATGTATCATTCTTAAAACGCATAGCCAGCCTTTATTCTGATGAAAGAATGTTTGTATGTTCTTTCGTCAGAAAGTGTTTCATTACTCGTAATGAAACAAAACTGTGTTTATACAGAAAGTATCTGAAATCTGTGGTTTCGGCATTAAAAAACTTTTGAAAATGTGAACTCACTGGCAACCTTCTTTACAACTGTATGTATTTGCATAGCAKGTATGACCATAGAAACACACCTTTTCTTGCTTTTTCAATTGATTTCAACTTCTCCTTTGCTTGATAAACAGCTGTCGCCTAGTTATAAATGACAAAACAAACAAAACTCCAATGAATCRTTAATTTGTAAACTTCTGCATAAAAAGGGCTTTGTGAATAGAACCTTGATAAACTATTCAGAAAAATATGCAAAAGTAAATTACACTTGGAAGAAAATTAACATTATAAAACAAAACTGAATAGCCTGATAAGTAAAAAGTGTTTGACTACTAAAAAGAAAAGCCATTGTGAAATTGTAAATATTTCATCTTTTCAAACTAACACACTGCTGCTTTCTCCAGAAGCACCTTTATCACAAGTAGGTGTTCAAGCACATAAGCTATGAACTTACCAGAATGTGTTCTGCTTCTTTTAGTTGTTTCTGCAGCTGCTGAATATCACTATCCCTCTTCTCTACTACCTTTTCTAAAAGTTGCATTTCATGGTRGATTTTTCCTTGATCAACTGCCAGCTTCATTAGCTCCTGAAACTCTCCATCTCTCTGAATCAGCAGCTCCAGAATCTGTCAGACAAGAGTTTTATAGAACGTTTAATTGCTGAACAATTATGCAGCAAGGAAGAACTGGCATCTGCAAGCATATTTCAGTTTGCATGCAAAATAAAACAAACTATATGCTCTGTTTGCAGAAACAACCTATGAAGCATGCAGTAAACAAAACAAACATTTAGAAAAAGCATCAAAAGGACCAGGAATATCATTTTAGTGTGGCTAAAACCTCATCTTATTAGTCTACTTACTTATTAGTCTAAGTATACACATGGAAAAAGGAGAGCAAAAAAAAAAGTAGCAGTGAAGGAATAAACTTAAATATATATATTTAAAAAAACAATAATTAAGGTCAGCTTACCTGGCTCTCTTCTCCTGGTTGTGGAAGCTTCTGGTTTCTTGATATGGCCAAAATTTCAATTAGTTCTCTGAAAGGAAAACTACATTTATACAAGTTTCTGCGCTATTTTTTCTATTCTATTTGCAAAGCAGTGATTTCTCAACTTAGAAAGAAAGAAAAAAAATGCTCCAATGATGGAACTATTCACAGAGTTATTTGTTTCTCCTTTGAGCTCACAAAGTGCTTACGTGCCTTTGCATTCAAGAAACGTGCTAAGTTCTTGACAAATGAGTAACACAGAAGCAGAAGCTGAGAGAATAATAATAATAATAACAATAATAATAATAATAATAATAATAATAAAAAGACAATGAAATACATTAATGCCTTAGTTTCATCACCTTTGTTTATCGCAAGAAGGCATGAAAGTATAAGTTGTTATCATTATTTTACTTCCCTGGTTTTCCTTCATTTTTACAACAGAACAAGCTTCACACTCAGGCTTAAAGCAATTAAGCCTATGCTTTCAAACATCCAAAAAGTTTGTTGTAAAACTACTACTAGTACACTCACTATGGTATATCAGCTGTATATCAAACACATACAAAGATATCAAGAAAACTGTAACATTCTGGGTTAGAAGGGCATCTGCAAGTCTCCACACACCCCTCTACTTTGTCACCATTATGAAAAAGTCAGTGATCTCTAAGGGGACTCGCTTAACCACGAGACCACAATGCAAAAGGCACTTGCTGTAAATGGGATAAATGTACATATGTAAAGGCCAAATATATATGTGGTTTCTAATGGCATGAACTGAAGTTCAGTGCAGTGCCTGGTAACTTTATGTGAAGCAGCCTCCTTGGAGCAATGGCCATTAGCTACTTCCTCCAGCGTGGGCTTCTCAACAGGGATGTTTAACTAGTGCAGCACAGGGGCCAGAGCCTTAAAATGACAACAGGAGCCTTTCCAAAAACTGGAACACCACCTTCACCAAAACTTAAACCTCTAAACAGAGCTTTACAGAGACAGACAGGATCATCTTCCCGTTCCGAGCCTGAGCAGCACCAAACCCAACAAGATCTTGATCTATGTCTGCACTCCTAAACACTAAAATAAAGTAATTAAAAATTAATGAAGTTTGGGATTCTCTTACTCTCATTAGGATTATCCCACCAGACCAAAAGTGATCAGTAGCCAATAAAACCTGGTGCAAGGGGGCAAGCAAATACCACCAAGGCAGATGTCATGGTCATCTGTGATCCTGTTCTGAGCTAGCTTGGTAATGAACAGATGTAGATTCCTATATATATATGTATATATACACACACATATATATGTGTGTGTGTGCACGCAGATGTAGATTCCCATATATATACACACATATATATGTGTGTGTGTGCACGCAGATGTAGATTCCCATATATATATATATGTGTGTGCGCACGCGTACATGTGTTTATATATACACTTCCCTCCATACATATATACATATATACATATATACGTATATACATATATACATATATACACATGGCCTATAGCCTAGGCACACACCTTCACCCCTACCACCAAGCCAATACCATAACCGTGTCCAATACTATAATCCAACCCAGTGCTTCAACACTTTGCTGGTCAACAAGAAGATGCACAAAAATATTGCTGCGGGAAGCCCTGGATGGAATACCTGTCCTCAAGAGAAGAAAAATCAATAGAATTTAAATAAAGATGATTTTTTAACCCAAAGCTGCCCCCGCGCTGGGCGGCCCGGCTGCTCCCTCTCACGACAGCTCTCCCCAGCCGCCGCTCCCGCGGAGAGCAGCGCTCCCTCCCGCCGCAGGGAACAACAGCCGCTGACCACAGGGGCCACGCGGGGCCGCCGGGGGGACAGGGCGGCCGGGGAGGAGCGGAGCCCCGGCACGGGGCGGCTCGGGCCTCACCGCGCGCCGCTACCGCCGGGCGCTCCGCTCGGCTCCGCGCCAGCGGCGCCGCGTCCCCCCGCCCGCGGTACCTGGCCAGGAGCTCGAGATCCTCCAGCGCCGCCAGGAGCCGGTCGCGGGTGCTGCTCCGCTCGCCGCCTCCCGCGCCCGCCGCCGCCGCCGCCGCCATCACGATGGCGGGCGCGGAGCCGAGCGAGACGCCGCTCCCGGCGGCAGCGCCCCGCCCCCGCGGCGAGGGAGGGGCGAGCCGCGCGGCGCATGCGCACAGCGGCCGCAGGGGGGGGCACAAGGCGGCTCCTCCCCTCCTCCCCGCCCCGCCCGCAGCGCGGCCGTTAACGGCTCCCCTGAGGCGGGGCGGGGAGCAGAGGGGCTCACGCTTGCGCCGTGGCCACGCAGCGCGGCCGTAAGCGCCTCCACCGGCGCCGGCTCCACAGTAGGGCTAGGTGCTTGCTGCTTGAGATGTGCCGTCCCCTGCCCCGATCTGTACAGAATGGAAACTCAAAGTCAAATGAGTTTCAGATGTGCCCTATGGACACGGAACACAAACTTAGAAAGGGCTGGCAACTGCACAACCTCGTAACTTCGTAACCCCATGGTCCGCGCTGCCCCCAAATCCCTTAGGTGTTTGCAGTTGGAGGGAGGAGTGGTGTTTTCCCAGTAACTTGAGAAGATCAAGTGACTTAGGCGAAAATGTGGTGAAAGCCCAAGCTTTAAATTGTGCTGCACCCCAGCCCGAGCTCACTTTCCTGACACAAGCAACAGGACCTCGAAGTGGCTGAGGAATTGCAACCTACCCCGTGCTGCATGTGCCTGCCCTTGGGTCTGCACACAAGCAAAATGTATTTTAAAAGTACTATAAAAAAATGCTGTATGTGGTCTGATACTGTAAACTGACCCTAAGGGCTCCCAGGGAAGCCAGAAGAATTTTTTAAATTCATGAAGCTTGTCGTAATGTGGAGAGAGAGAGGCAGAGGCTCGGGTGGAGGGCGAGATGAGAGCGCCAAGAGTGGAAGCTAATCCAGGCCAAGGTTTCTGACCAGTAAGGGCTCATCCAGGGAAGAACACGGAGTCCCCAGGTGCCACCATGTCCTGCTGTCAGCAGGCGGCCACAACCCCCTCCCGGCGAGCGGTGCTTGTCATCAGTCCTGATGAGAGGGAATATTAGGTAGGCGATAGCATCTCGGGCTGCTCTGGTGTTTACTCTGAATATCCTTTCACCTTCTGTGGTAAGTATGTCCCTGAGAAATCTGCGCTTATTAAAAAAGCAAAAGAAAAAAAAAAAAAAAAGGCAAAGTACTTGGTAATGAAGGATTCTTTGAATTGTGGCTTAAGAAATGATTGAACATTGTGGGATTTGTGATAAAGTAATGAGATTTGGCAGCCCCGAGAAGAAGATAATTGCCAACAGGAGTTCCTTAAAATTCACTTACAATATATAATAGCATTCAAAGGTCCAATCTATCGGTAGTTTGAGAACTCTTTTTAATGAAATATTCTGAAATATTCTGAAATAATGTAGCTGATAAAATCTCATCCAATAGTTGTACCATTTAAAAGAATTTTGCTTGCCTTTCTTTCCCCCCCCCAAAAGACAGCATTTCCCTCATTTTGCTGAAGAAAAGATGTAATCAGTGAAGATGTTTGGTTGTGCTTCCAATTCACTGATTTGCTAGAGTGTCTCTATGGGAGTGTAAACAGAAATAACAACTTCAGAAAAATAAAGCAATTCTCTGGAGGCACAAATAAAACAATCCCCCTGCTATATTGCTTTCTTCCTCCACATTCATTTTTGACGTCTGAATTATTTAGAAGTATTGAAGTGAATATTGAATATTCTAAATATTGAATATTGAATATTCTAAAATTCTTTAGTGCTGTACTACTGGTTCTCTCATCTAACCCTGCCAATACCACCATTTTTCAGCCGGGTAGCTGCCCTTCTTACCCTCTTCCCCAAACTGCAGCACAGAGATCTATCTGCTTCTTATAAATTCTGCAGTTCCTCCCCACTCCTTCCCCTGTAGATGCAGCAGTGGCTAAAAGGGCGGGTTTCTTGGCAGAGACCTACTTGTCCAAACTGATGCTCCTACTTCTGTGTAGGAGGATAGTGTGAGCCGCAAGGCATCAGGGAACGCCTGCCTGTGCCGAGACACAGAAAACCCTCCAGACTATGTCAGGGGGACCATCTCCACCAGGACAAAGGGGAAGGCTGGGTGAAAGAGGCTCGTGCCCCAAACTTGGCCCATGGGCTCGTTGGGGTAGCACTGAGTGGCTGAACAGACTTTTGAAATACTTACTGACCAAAACAGTAGGACCTCTGTTTCCACAGTTCTTCAGTGCTTTGGGCTTTCTTTCCCGCGGGTAAACTTTTTCATAGATGGGTTAGTTTTGAGCCAAATATGCTCCTTAAAGGCCTATATCCTCCCCTAATAACTAAGCATTCTTGCCTAATTTGTTTTCAGTAGTCTGAGAACATATCAAGTTGGGCAGCTGTGTCTTTCCACTCACAGTGAGATTACAAGACATTTCAGAATCTTTTTCATTTCAGAATCTTTTTGATTTCAGATTGGCTTTTCAATGGCATATCGAACACACTGTTAAGAACCATAAGCAAAAATAGCTTGCCTCATTCTGCTCAGCTGAGTCTTATCTGGTCTAGATTTGACCTTTAGGAGATCATCTGCAGGGCAAACGCAGTTCTATAGCGGCAGATCTACGAGAAGCTGAGCCCCTCACCAGCTCAAAAGCAGGAATGTTGCTCACTCCCCAGCTCCCAGGTGCTTGAGCTCCCTTGCCCTCTGCCATCCATGACACCCTTCCATGATACCCATCCTGATACCCTTCCATGAGCCACTAAATAATAAGACAGAAAAATACCTCATGATTTTGTTGGGTTCATTTCCTTCTGGGTTAGAGAGTGAAGCCTGCTCCTGGAAAGCCTAGTTGTCAGGAGCGGAGCGGGGAGGCGGAAGAGGGTGTTTCCCATGGAAGTGTCACCTAACCTCCCCGTGGGAACCACAACCTGCATGGTGATGTTTTAGGGTGCACCTAGGCTGGCGTGGCCGCCGCTGATGCTGAAAAGTGCCATCTTCTCCGTCTCTTCAGCCAAGTATCCTGTCCTCCTCCCCTCCATGTGGGAACCCATGGCAGGGAGACTACAGCAAGAAACGGCTGGGCGAGCCCATTCAATGGAAAACATTTATTTTGTTGGTGTTTTTGTCTTGTCAGATGAGCTCATTGAAGCAGTTGACTTCAGGGCAACCATTGCTGGGTCACTGGGCACAAGGGAATGTGTGGCCAGGGAAAGGGTAGAGGGACGCTACCCTTATTTCTGCTTAAGTGAAATTCAAGCCTAGGATTCATCTGATGCATAGCCTTTTTATTTCTTTCTTTAGGCTTTATTTTTCTCTATTTCTTTCTTTCTTTCTATTATTTATCTTCATTTCTTTCTTTAGGCTTTATTCATCTTTATTTGTAAATACAAAAATATTTTTATTTATTTCTCTCATTATTACCTTAGCTAATTATGAACTAGAGGATTTCCTTAAAACATAGATGTTGAACCACACAGAACTTCAGAGCCCAGAGCATCATTTCCAGGCTACTGTTCTCTTCATCTGTCTTCTTATATATAAGTTCCAGACACTAAACATCAAGTGTGCAGTTGGTAGGTGTTCGGATACCTTAAAATATCACTAGATTGTGCAAGATACTGAACTCCTCCAGGCCATCCGGTGTCTGACCACAGCTAATAAAACATTTCAATCAGTATAAATAGAAACCCAACAGGGTAATTCAGAGGAGCAAGAAGGAAGAAGAGCAGAACAAATACTCATATGCACTTCCTCTAAATAATGTAAAAATGAAATCGTTTTCTGTCAAATATCAACTAAAATAGAAATCAAACATCTTGTTTGGAAGAATGCCATGATAGTGTTTTGGCCTGTGGAGAAGAGAATAAGCATCCTATATTTGTCAAGCTGTCTTTACACCATTAATATTTTTAAATGCCTCTGATAAATCATCTGTTTCTTATTGCTATTCAGAAAGATATCTTCATTTCCCTGCTCACATATGTTGGATAGTGCTTTAGACCAGCAAGATGAGAGAAAAAAGAAGTGGTTTTGCTTAGTTGGTGTTAATTCTAAAATAGGTTAAAAATGAGACAAAAATAGATAATACTATGAGCCAAAGCTTTTTTGCCTTTTTTTTTTTTTTTTTTTTCAGAAGGAGTGTGAAACATTAGTACATTTGGCCAAAACCAGAGCTTGGCATGCCATTCCGGAGTGTTCCACCCCAAAATTAGCTCTGCTTTGAGCTATATTAAACTTGAATTGCACCCATTTCTGCTGGTGCAAATCTATGCAGAGCCCTCGAGACGGGAAGTCGCCCAGGCAGAAAGCGCCGCGTGGTTCAGGCTGCTGGAGGGCGTCCTGGGACGGTGCCGCCTGTGGAGTGGGAGGTGTTGAGCAGGAGAGAGAAAGAATTGCARCTGGCCCCGGATAGTGACATAAAAATAAGGGCCCTATGCAAAGGAGAGGCTCGTTTGGCAGCCTGGCTGCTAGAGATGTTGGCAATACTGCCAAGAGTTGTCAGGAATAGGGAAAGATATAGGGGAAAACTAAATAGGAGACCTTTTTCCTAAGCAAGACGGAAGTTAATGCTGACTATTTCATGGAAAAAAGAAAAATCTAATTAGGGATAATGAGAATCCTGGGCTAAGCCCCCAACACATATTAATTTTGAGTCTTCATCAAGTTAAACTTGTTTATTTGGGAAAAAATCTTATTTTCCTTGTGGCTTCTGCTATAGCTGTTTACCAAACACTGCAGGGACGCCCACACAAGCCTCTATAGAAACAGGGCTGAAATGTAGAGTTGTTTACTTCCCCTCACCATAAATAGATAGATAGATAGATAGATAGATAGATAGATAGATAGATAGATAGATAGATAGATAGATCCAAGGGCAATGATGACAGCAACAGTCCCTGCTCTCCCACATGCTGAATTCCACCTAAGCTGATAGAAGAAGTTGTAATTTACTCACAACAAATCTCCTCACACACCTCCCTCAACCCTTTATTGTGTCTCACCGGCTGCTAACAATAAAACTGTCATCTCTTCCACTGAGACTAGGTCACCTGTCTTTCAAGTGGCGAGTGTATCTTCTGAAC